AAAAAAAAAAAAAAAAATTAGCAGCGTGTGGTGGCATAAGCCTGTAGTCCCAGCTACTGCGGAGGCTGAGGCAGAAGAATTGCTTGAACCCGGGAGGCGGAGGTTGCAGTGAGCCGAGATCACGCCACTGTACTCCAGCCTGGGTGACAGAGTGAGACTTCGTCTCAAAAAAAAAAAAAAAAAGAAAGAAAAGTTGAAATATAGTAGTTACAGAATAGGAATCTGGTCTTTTACCATGTCAAATCTTTACAGGCCCAATTTCAGCCTTTAAAAAAAATCCAAATATATTTAAAGGGTCACTTACAATTTATGGATTCTTTGAAATAACTTTCAATTTCGTCATCCAGAACATTTGTTTCTTTATTTTCTCGTATAAAATTCAGTAGAATGCTAGCTTCTGGCGTCTCTTAAATTGAAAATGCATAGTAAGTGAAAAGTAAACGGATTAACTTTTAAATCACATTTAAATCATCCAAAATCATTTTAATAGTAAAAAGTGAAGACATGTAAGAATACAATCAAATAGAATATTATGTGGCCATTAATAATCTGATATAGAATTCTGTTAACATGGAGAGATGTACACCACATTACATCTAAAACAGATGTTAGTGAAAAGAGCAGCTTACGTTATAACTTGTGTGGTTCAATACCCTTTTAATTAAAAAATCTACATATGTAAGGGGCCTGGCGCAGTACCTCACACCTGTAATCCCAGCACTTTGGGAGGCTGAGGCAGGCGGATCATGAGGTCAGGAGATGGAGACCATCCTGGCTAACACGGTGAAACCCCGTCTCCACTAAAAATACAAAAACATTAGCCAGGCGTGGTGGCGGGCACCTGTAGTCCCAGCTAGTTGGGAGGCTGAGGCAGGAGAATGGCACGAACCTAGGAGGTGGAGCTTGCAGTGAGCAGAGATAGTGCCACTGCACTCCAGCCTGGGAAACAGAGCAAGACTCCGTCTAAAAAACAAATACAAAAACAAACAAAAAAAAACTACATATATAAATGCAAAATTATCTGGAAGAATATATATGAAAAAATGATTCTCTCTAGACAGTGGGATTGTAGGTGATCTTTGTTTCCCTTGTTTATGTTTTTATATATTTTTTCTGAATTTTATATGTATTTCTTTACTCAGAAAAAAAAGGCTTTTTTTTTTTTTTTTTTTT